GAGCAGTTATTTACTCGCCCAACTGTTTTGTCTTTGAAGATATGTTCGTATTCTATGATAAACGTTCGCAAAGTATGATTTATGACTGATCACGGCGGCGGCCAATTTCTACTACGATTTAACATGGGTTGCTCACTCGACCATTTTTTTTAAAGTTCACTGTTTAAGGCCTATAATATATAGCATTTATGCTGTGCACCGCATTTTTTATTTTCTAAAAATTGCACAATCAGCATTATATTCATAAAGATATAGACTAACATTTAAAAAATGAATGGAAAGGTGTGTTCGTACAACTGAAGCAATATAATATGTACATGTACATTGTTTGTGTATTTAAAAAAATTATATTTAAAAATTAGAGATGCCGTGACCCTGGCAATGCGTGCACTTAAAAAAACGTAGAATGCAATTAACAACTCAGTAACGGTCGCAATAAAACAAAAACTAAATATCGCTCACACCAGGGTACTGACGGGGGGCTCTCGTGGCCTTGGGGTTAAGGTGTTCGCCTCTCAATCAATAGGTCCCGGGTTCGAATCCGGATAGCGACGAAAGATTTTCTTCTCTAATGTCTCCTTTCACCTCCTTTCCTTCACTTTCTGCCCCCACCCCCTTACCTCCTTCGCCCCCTCCTCTGGACTCCTGACGCTCTGTAGCTCTTTTACTGCTACTCCTTGGCTTCTTATTACTGCTGTCTTTCAGCCACTCCCCTGATCTTCTGGTAGGAAAGGTCTACAGCTGGCCTTCTACGACAAGAGCCAAAAATCACAGAGGTCCCGTGTTCAAGTTGCGCACGTTAAAGATCCCTTGGTGGTCCAAATCAATAAGAGTAGGCTTCAGCCGCCACCCGCACAAAATTCAAAAATTCCTCACAACTGAAAATATTTAATGTGTCCCCCGCGCTCGTACGACCTCATGCAGTTGGGAGCACCGTAAAACACTTATCGAAACAAAACCAAAAGAAAGCAGAAAGCAATTTTTTAAAAAATTACTAACGGCCCCAACAAAACTGAAACTAAATGTCGCTCACACCAGGCTTCTGGCGGAATCGATTAAAAGCAGTGGTAGCTTTGGTGTTATTTCCATCTATTTTTCAATCTCCATGTCTTAATAGCATCTTTGGTGTAGCGGATAGGTGCTTCCTATCACAAAAAGAATACCCGAGTTTGATTCCCGAAAGGGGATAACTTTATTTAGTTCCTCGATCATTCTGCTGGAATATTGTTGTACCCCTCTTGACAATGACAATGACAATGACAATGACAATCATTATTCATCTCGCAGGGAGAAATTTGTCTTGGTCATTAACAATGGCAGTAGACGTTACAAAAGTTAGACTTAAAGGTGCACTCACGCAAACGCACAACAAGACAGGACATTATGTCAAGTAAATACATGTCTCACGGGCTGGGACAACCCGCTCCGTAACACATTCATTCTCTCTCTCTCTCTCTCT